GAGCATTCGCCCCTGTGAGGAAGGCTTTTGGTTCTGTCCCCTGGCCGAGACATACCAGAGTCTGTAAAAATAGTAGTTTCTACTCCTGCTTAACGCTCAACAATTTAGGAGTGGGACGACTGATGCGACATGAGTGTGGAAGTGACGATTTGTTTCTAAAATATCAGTTTGAAGAGCGACCCTGCCGCGTGTCGATTATGTCCCGCATATTATAGAGGGCCGGAGTTCTGATGATCATCGACGACAGACCGATATAAAAAAGTCGATAAAACCTCAGAATATTTCGGACTAGTTGTCAGTATAATGTGACCGGTTGGGGCGTCCTGCTGGGTGTCTTCGGCTGTATGTTTCAGTGAGGTAGCACTATTATGTAGGCACCAGTTCCGCGCTATCACAAGGAGACAAACACGAACATATCGCAGCCTCCTAAAACACACACGCATACACTACACGCACGCATCTCGCACACAGGGGATGCCGTCCTTAAATGACCATAGCTGTTGATAGGACGTTAAACAATACTGAGCCAAACCAAACCAATCATGTAGAAGGAAACTCCATGGAGTAACTAGAGAAAACCTACGTAGTCGGGAAGGTGACCCCATACCTTTTCCCGTCCGGAATCGAACCCCTGGCCACCTTGGTGAAAGGCAAGTGCGTTATCTACTGCACCACCCGACCATCCCAATGGATGCCTTTTAAATGTGGTGGGGTTATATAGAAGCGGCTTCGTACGGTAGTTGACATAAAATAAGCAGAAGTTCTTTTCAGTACCCTAAGTAACACATTAACATAACTGAAGATAAAAATAGATCATCCAGCAGTATATCTCTGAGATTCCAGTCTATCATGTTCTGCTGCAATGGGAAAGAATTATGGACATTAAAGCAGTCGTACTTGAAGATTTCACGATTTTAAAAACTGATGTGATAAGGTTCGATATCGCTTACTGGCGCGTACATTTCGCAACCATTTCAGAGTAGGAGTTTTAAAATATTAATATTATAATGTGTGTGTTTTTTCACTGATACTGTTGCTCTATTGTTTGTACTGGCCGTGTTTGCTTCTCCTTTTTTCGATGAAAAGATAAAGTGAACAATAGACGATGCTGGGTTGGACTTGTGACGTAAATTAAGAGATAGTTCCAGAATGTGACAAAAGGAAAACGACAAAGCAGATTGTTTAAAGATAATACTATCTCGTGAACGTTGAACTTTGTGGATTTGATCAAAAGACAACTTGAGTCCCGGGGACGCTAATATAGCTAATTAGCGGGTAAAACATCTCTTGGAATTCTCATTTCAATTTATAGAAACGTCTTGAATTACTGATACTACCAGTAGATCTAAATAAAGTGTATTATTTATCACTACATAGACAAACCTTTATATAATGCCCTTTATTTAATTTGCCATCTCGTCATGACGTATTTCAAGGCCGCCTGCCATTTTCTTAAACTTTTCATTTTATCCTTCCATCCACATGAAATCAAATATCTTTATAACGTAAAACTATTTTCGATAAATGCATGGTGGCAGCATTACGAAACTTTACTCTATAATCCGTGATACTACTGCTAAAAACAGACAAAATAGGAAAATTATGTTTATTTCGTTTGAATCTATTGGCGTTGAACCAGAAAAAAATGTATTTATTTCAATACACCTATGAAAATCGAGTCTGTGAAACACAAGTTTTGATAAAATCAAATTGACCAATTATTTAGCATATTTTGGAAAATTGTATATTTTAACCCAGCTCGCACAGTGTCAACGTCTTAACATTTTTTCGTAGATACATGTACTGTATGATGATATTTAGGGCATCTATCTATCCTGGAATGGCAAATTTTAAAAGAAAGCCAAAGGCGCCGCAGATATGCCGTCATCTCGGTTTTTGGAATATCATTTTAGGTAATTTAAAACAGAAGATGTGTTCAATGATCAAGGCATGTAGAGGGTGTGAACGCTTTAAGATAAACTCATTATAGTCAGCAAATTGTTCCAGGTTCGTGTCTATCTTGCAGTGCGCGTGAACAGATTGCACAGAAACGCATGTACTTGGCAGGCAGATGTCATAAAACGTCTTTCAGATAACACGTTTTGACAAGAAGGCGTATTAAAGCGACTTTCTAATGTCGCTCTGTTCTTTTCGAATCACCACAGGATGCATTAAGCTTTTTTTTTGTATTGTACTTTAATATTAATTTGAAAATGTCGACATTTCGGGTTTTTAATGTTAGTTATACTGTGAAGGTATTGATTACACGTGCACAGTACTGTTAGATACGTCAGCCCTATTTGTGCTCGGAACTACACCCGTCGCCGACAGCAAGATGAATTCCCCGGGTCGACTTTACGGATCCACCCGTTTGCCTCTAAGCGGTTTTTACGTATTATTGAACTCTTTATTAAACGTGCGTTCTTTATTTTTCTTTGGTGTCGTGAACGTCATCACTGATTATGCAATGTATTACGTGATGTTGACATGGTACTATGAGAAGGGCATCATCGCTTTTTTTTGTGGGCGACACTATGAAATGTGTCTCTATTTTTGGACATGTCCTGTGCTGTCGTACATTATATATATCTTTAGCAAGGTCACGTGTCGGCAAATTTTATCCTAGTCCCCACACTTATTGTCCTCTCAGTTACTTCACGTTCTGTGACGTCATATGTAACGTTAGTCACGATATGTGTCATCGTAACTAACCTGAGTCACGTAATGTGTCGTTATTTGTAACCTTCGTCACGAGATATGTCGTCGTATCAAACCTAAGTCACGTGATGTGTTGTCGTATCAAATCTTAGTCACGTTTTGTGTCGTCGTAACTTACCTTAGTCACGCTATGCGTCGTCGTGACTAATCTTTGTCACGTGATGTGTCGTCATATCTAACCATAGTTACGTTATATGTCGTCGTATTCAACCTTAATCACGCTATGTGTCAACGTTACTTACCTTTGTCACGTGATGTGTTGTCGTAATTAACCTTAGTCGCGAGATGTGTCGTAACTAACATTTGTCACGTAATGTGTCGTCTTATCTAACCTTAGTCACGTGATGTGTCGTCATATTAAACGTAAGTCACGTGATATATCGTCGTAGTTAACCTTAATCACGTTATGTGTCATCGTTTCTTACCTTTGTCACGTGATGTGTTGTCGTAATTAACCTTATTCGCGTGATGTGTCGTTACTAACTTTTGTCACGTGATATGTTGTCTTATCTTACATTCGTCACGTGATGTGTCGTCATATTCAACATAAGTCACGTGATATATCGTCGTATTTAACCTACATTGTACGTCACGTGATGTGTCGTCGCAACTGATCTTTGTCACGCTATGTGTCGATGAAACTAATCTTAGCCACGTGATGTGTCGTCGTGATTAACCTTAGTCACGTGATATGTCGCCTTATTAAATGTTAGTCACGTGATGTGTCGTCGTATTTAAATAAGACACGTGATATATCGTCGTATCTAACCTTAGTCACACTATGTGTCGTGGTTTCTAACATCAGTTAGGTTATGAGTCGTCCTATCTAACCTTAATCACGTGATGTATCGTCATAACTAACTTTCGTCACGTGATGCGTCCTCGTAACTTAGTTATTCACGTGATGTGTCTTTGTATAACCTTAGTTCCATTATTTGTCGTTGTATGACCTACGTCACGTTATTTGTTTTTGTATAACCTTAGTCACGTTATGTTTCGTTTTATAACCTTAGTCACGTTATGTTTCGTTTTATAACCTTAGTCACGTTATGTGTCGTTTTATAACCTTAGTCACGTTAGATGTCGTTGTATAACCTTAGTCGCGTTATGTGTCGTCGTAAAAAACCTTAGTCGCGTAATGTGTCGTCGTAACTAACCTGAATCGCATTATGCATCGTCGTATCTAACATTAATACGCTTTTTGTGTCGTCGTAACTAACCTTAATCGCGTTATGTGACGTCGTATCTAACCTTAATCGCTTTATGTATCGTCGTGTCTGACCTTTGTCGCGTAATGTGTCGTCGTATCTAACCTTAATCGCGTTATGTGTCGTCGTATCTAACATTAGACGCTTTTTGTGTCGTCGTAACTAACCTTAGTCGCGTTATGTGTCGTCGTAACTAACCTTAATCGCGTTATGTGTCGTCGTATCTGACCTTTGTCGCGTAATGTGTCGTCGTAACTAACCTTAATCGCTTTATGTATCGTCGTATCTAACATTAGACGCTTTTTGTGTCGTCGTATCTAACCTTAATCGCGTTATGTGTCGTCGTAACTATCCTTAGTTGCGTCATGTGTCGTCGTTACTAACCTTAATCGCTTCATGTATCGTCGTATCTAACATTAGACGCTTTTTGTGTCGTCGTAACTAACCTTAATCGCGTTATGTGTCGTCGTATCTAACATTACACGCTTTTTGTGTCGTCGTATCTAACCTTAATCGCGTTATGTGTCGTCGTAACTAACCTTAATCGCGTTTTGTGTCGTCGTATCTAACATTAGACGCTTTTTGTGTCGTCGTAACTAACCTTTGTCACATTAGGTATCGTCGTTTCTAAACTTAGTCGCGTTATGCGTTGTCGTATTGAACCTTATTCACTTTATGTGTCTTGGTATGTAACCTTAATCACGTTATGTGTCTTTCTATTTGTCATGACCCAGTTTCTCTAATATTCCTCAACTTAGGAAAATCCCTTAATGCAAGCGTTTCCTTTAAGGAAAGCAATATTGAAGGTACTAAGAAAAACAAATTAAAATATTACCCTATCTAAATTTTCCTGAGATTAACGTTCGTTAAACTGATGCCTCAATATTAAAACTTCTTTACAATGTACAAGGAGATCCTTAACTTAGGTGTATATGACGACAAAACATAATGTGATGGCGACGTATGGTATGTTTATTTACAACGACACATAAAATACGATGAAATTTTAACTTCATAGAAGCTCTCGCCTTTGGTGTTAAGTATCTAACTGTAATCGTTTTAACTTCCGCTTACCTGCTGTCGAGAAGGCGAGGTGGACTAATGTTATCCATTGAATCAATAGTATGCACACCAGCATATGCTCCATGTGGAGGAGAGGTCGATCAGCGTCATTTCCTTTTTAATGCGCATGAGGAGATGGACCCTTAAACAGATAATAGTTTAAATTGTTTCTAGTGAATCTAAATAAAACAACATCGTCACAATGGAAAAAAAAAATCAAAAAAAAAATGTGTTTTATTTTTAAATTATTTCTGTCCTGCATGAGGAACAAACACCATCACTCAGACTATGGACTATACAGGAGGTTCAGTCCGCTTCGGGTTTAACATAACTTTTACAAACTTCATCAGTTTTAGACGATAATCTTAATCAATAACGACAAAACTATTATTGCTACATTGCAATCCATATTTACAAATATATTGCATTCCAACTGAATGACCCTACCAAATTCAGAAAACATTCATATTTGAATTGAGCGCATTTTCTTTTAACATTCATGACTTTTGAACGCAAACTAACTATATTCATATCGCATGAAACCCTAGCTAGCATCAATGTAACCGATTGGCGTTCATACCAGTATGAATGTTGAAAAACTTCGATTCAATATGAATACTAGATTTTGAATTAATGTGTACTAGTGTTTCTTTTGATATTTTTCTGTGTCATTAGTGCTGACGATATTCATGAAACGGCTTAATATCATATGAACGTTTGTTTCTTACGATAGTTTCATGTTATGCGAAACGGGAGGAGAAGCATCAAAACGACACTGATCCAATCGCGTTCAAAACTCTTTGAATGCATTTTTTATCCTGGCTGTGTTTATATAGGGACTAACATGTAAGCGGAAATGTAGGTATTTAACTAGATCATCAATGTTACAACGTCAAAATGCACCAGCATACACGATACATTTGTACGTACAATTATTCGATTTAAATTAGTTTTCTATGAGATCAAAATATCTGAAAAAAATATCCGACGGTGTAACGTAAACTTAGTTTTCCTACATCCTTTAATCCAACTGATCACCTGTTTGAAAACGCAAACAAGTTTCTAGTGAAACCGTTCCATTATTGTAACAGATTCTGACGGAAATCATTAACGAAGTCCATTTACAAATTGGACTTTTTATACAAGCAAGATAATCCGAAAACTAGCGATGTAGTAGTGTTCAATTACGGTAGATAATCAGAAATGTTCGATTACTTTCATTGGTGATGACGGGATTGGTTATAATACCACGAAGTCTTGGTCCCATGATATGGATTTTTAAAAACTGTGTTCAGATCATTATAATGATGACATGTTACCTCAACTTTCACTAAAAATAGAATAATCTCCTAAATGTAATCAAAGCTAACGGTGTGTCCCTCCTAGATCGATACCGTCACACGACACGTACACTCTCGTTATAACGAGATTCACCATCCGCCAATTGATCGCATTCGTTTACATTAGTGTCAGACTCGCCGAGTGTAAGTTGTTATAATTAATTATCATGTTTGCTGACACATTAATTGATTACCTTATCTAAAAATATTTGAGTACTTCGTTTTATCTGTTTGTAGATGTTATATCATTTTAGATGATATCATTGAAGATTTTAATCAACCAAAGACAGGTCTAGAACTTTATTTGATTCTGGTCCTATTTATTGAGGTTTGTCTTGTCATAATTTTACAAAACTTGCACATCAATTTATCATTTCCTCGTTTCGATCGACGTTATTGTGTTATTTAGAGGCTAAATAACTATTTAATCATTCTATTTATGGCCCACAAAACGAATCAATGTCGATCAGAAGGATGAAATAGCGATAACAGCTGTTATTTTTGGGTGACAAGCAAAACAAGCAAAAAACGAAACAAAAACGACAGAAGATTGTCTCAAAGTGGAAAAGGTGGACTATACACAGCTGTATAGGTCCTCTACAGCCAGTCAATGATCTGGAAAACACATTACAGAGTAAAAACAACGTCCTTTATATAATTTTGCGTTTAATACAACAATATGACCGGTATAGACAGGATATCACCTCAATGAATAGTAAATTTAATAGCAATACATGTACGACCTCTTACGACAAGCACATGTTTTTGTTAAACAGTTGACAAAAATTCAGCAGAGCGAGGGCAAACGTCCAAAATCGGTATCAGATCCGCGCTACATGTATCACAAGGAGGCATGTACACCAACATACCCTGTCTCCAGCACACATACACACTTGCACGCTTACACAACACACATGGAGGCAGCTGTTAATAGGATGTTAAAAAAAATAAAACCAAACCAAACCTTTAAGTTTATTCAGTTAACCTCTATATTTCCCTCTAGTAACCTTTAAACCACTAAATTATCTTGTGTTCCCCCGACAAAGCAAGTAGGGGCATGAATGAACCTTGAATACTCGCTTACCTTTGTAAGTCCAACCCTTTTAAACGTACAAATGTTTTGGTAATTTCATTTGTTAACTATTTCAGATCCTAAAACACAGGTGCACCTCCAGTGGAACATAGCAAGCCTGTCAGTGGCAGAGGTGCACCAATATTGAAAGCAGGCAATATCATGTGCAGGAGAGAAATTATTGAAATTCTAAAGGGGATCCAGTAATGCAAAAAAAGATATACTGAAATGGAACCAGATTGGAAAAGTAATGATTTGATCAAACCTAAAAAAATAAGGATCTGATGGAAGACCAATTCAGTCAAATTCCTAAACAAGTTTAATTCATCACCTTCGCCAGTCCAGCACCAGTGGCTATTATTTTCAATTATTAGCTCTGTGTTCTTTGTAAGATGTGGATTTCCCCGTCTGTTTGACATGGCCCATATTACAAACGCATCTTACATAGACCACGGTAGGAGAAGATTGTATGCAAAAGTGGACTTAAATGAATCTTGAGCTCATATCGGATTACATGTATAATATCCAGACACAAAATAAACCAATACAGTACGTAATTTTGTCTGAACCTTTCGGCTACAACAATTACCGGGAGACAATAGTCATCGTGTCGTGTAAGTAGTGTTAGCCATGTCGATAACACACATGTATGTTTCTTTATAAAAAAACCCGCCAATGATGAATTGACTCCAGGCACGGGTCGAAAACCTTCGTATGGTTCCAAATTTTCCATAACAATGTACACTCCCTTCGTCCTTATCGTCAATCTGTTCTTGAAGTCATAAGCCTTAGCAACATCGTCAATTTCTATAACGTTGGGTTATTTGTAAAAAGTACACTATGTACAGAAAATTGTTTTATTTGCATATTGCATTATAATAAATAATGGAACCCGCTGTATAAGTTTCTGATAACTTATTTTGTAAGAAGTATAAGCAAAAACGCTATATATACAATCGAGAAATAAACGAGTGATACCATTTTATGTTAAATTGTTTTAAATATCAATCAATTTATAATTCGAACCAGAACTATTTACGGTTTCTGTATTACAAGCGTAACATGTTTTCGACACACTTGAGAAAAGCTCTAAAGTTCACAAAAAAAGCATACAAGAGGTGGAAAATATTGAGAAAGCTACAGTAACTGTCGAAATCCCTACACTTTGCTTTATATCAATATCCAGTGTCGGAAATGAAATTTAAAAATAAAAACGGAAATATCTGCGAGGTCGTGTTTCAATTCGTATAGGAAAACGGTCTTTATTCAACGCTGAAACATTACCCGAACAGCCGTTAACAATTTACTAGGGGTCGTTATCAACGGGGATCTCTCGTGTCATTGTTACATGTACTGAAACTAGTACACTTTGAATCAAATAAGGATGATCGCATTCAGCCCGCAGACATTTTCCTGGTATATTTGTTTATCTTAGAGGCGCATGCATTTTTGAAGAGTCATTACTATTTAAGCTCCCTACGGCCGTGGTAAATACACACTCATTGACCAGGAGAATTAACAGGTCACGGGTTTCGCTAAATATAACATGAAAATGCTGCCAATACGTTACGGATGATCGAACTTGTCATGTATTATGGAATATCAATATATCTAGTCAGGTTAGGGATCTTTTGATTGCAACCGCGGGAGAGCAATGACGTCACTTCCGCCTCACCTTGAACGTTTTTTTTATTTATGTCTTTTTTTTTTCTTTTTTTTTTCTTTTTTTGTCAAATTGAAATTTTATTAGAAAAAATGAAAATGCAATGTACTGGTACTTAAAACACATTATTTTATAATTAAACACATTCGCAAGGCTATTTTCAAAATGAAATATGTAATCACGTCCTCTCAACTTTTCATTCATTCCAACATCAATTATTTAACAGGCATGTAGTATACACATTTCCACTAATCTTTATCATTTGTCCCTGATTACCTGTTATTATTTTGTATGATCAAATCTCTTTATCTAGCTATACTAATCTAGTTAATCCACCTGCCAGTATTTCTCGCAACAGACTTGCCATTTTCCAATAGTCCACCCAAGTCATTTCTTAAATAACTTGCAATAAAACAATCTTCTTTTAACAGTTTCTCATCCAAGTAATGTTAAACACATTGGAATAATGAAATGCACTTTCTGAAAAAGGAAAAACTGGTCGACTATATAAATGTTCACAAATCGTGTCCCTTTGCCTGTTGTGATTGATCATGATGTAATTAATTGAAGCCAAAGGAATAACAAAGTTGAACTGGCCAGGAAAACAAGGCAGATCATAGACAACTAAGTATTAGAGAATTTAAAGAAGGATCTTGAACAAATAAACTGAGTCGAGACTCGGTCCAGTCTAGCATGTAGTAGGAGGAGAGGATGGTAGACTTCAGAGCTCAAAGTTACAAGTCAGCATTATCCTCTACGTTAAGCCTTGACCATTTATGACATTTTGTCATATATAAGGTGCAGGTAATTATTCATGTACTAGCCATTGGAAATTAAAGAGTTTGAAAATTGATTATCATGTGAAAAATATTTGTGTTAATGCCAATGACATCAATACTTAGATGCAACCAATATAGAACGAGGCCAAAAAGTAAATAACCAGGTATGTGTTTTTTGTTTCCCTATGGCTACTAAACTAATCTTCAGACTGTCTGCCCACAAGTTTTGAGACAGTTTTAGAGAAGAACTATTAAAGTCAAGATCCTTGTTCTATATAAAACCAAACCTATATAAAAATATGTGATAAAATACAAAAATGTTACCCTACCTACCCACCCAGTTTTTTAACAGGGTAACATCTAAGGCATAGATACGAACGAAATTCGTGAATTCCAATATATCAATAACCGGGATTCGATCATGGAACGCTTTTCGAATTCTAGACGGTCGCTCTATCAATCAATGTGGTGCATCTCCCCCCCCCCCCCCCCCCCCCCCCCCC